AAAAACACGTTTACGGCTCGGCTCATCGTCGATGAACCGCGAGCTTGGCGAGAAAAAATGCAACGGCACCAACGGGTTCTTCCCGAGCGCCAAGGAGTTCTTGCGAATGAAAACTCTGGTAAAAGTTTACGATGGGTGCCCTTGTTTTTTGGCTATCTTTTTTTGACGCCAGATCGGCGCCAGGAATTCAGATGCCGCAATACAAAATCAAAATAAGTCAAAGTTTACCACAAACTCTGGTTCCATTTACACATCGATCTTTTTAACTTTAAAAAACATCCTAGAATTGCAAACTAGGCATTGTGCAATGGCTTAAATTTGTCCATGTACACATCAATCTATTTTCATTTAAATAAAATCAGGAAGCTAAAACAAAGTTAAAACTATCATGGTAACCAGAAGTGAGGTTTCATCGTCGAAACTATCGCTAATCGAAGGGGCACCTAATTCTACACTAGAGACATTTTAACTTCTACCGTAGTAGCACTTGTGAAATAGAAATGCTCAAGTGACTTAGTACCATAAATTTCTGGGAGAGAAAGCACCTTCATTCAACTGTGGTGGTAACGTTAAGGGAAGTCATTATGTAGATTTTTACACATGTTGTTTTTTCCGAGATGTGCTTTCAAATAAAATTATAGCCTTAATTTTCAGCAAGATATATTGTTTATACTTCTATCAGAGTTACATGGAAGATCAAGTATGTATCCATTCTTGATCTTCATTCTGCGAAGAAGTTATCGCATCATTTGCATTGCAGACTATTCAGACTATCCAAGCTACTTTTCAATCTCATCATTAGATACAAATTTTAGGGAAAGTGCAGATTCACCCACTGCTAAGTGTGTTTTTAACAACTGCATGTACACATTGACCTATTTTCACCTAAAAAAAATCCCAGAATTGCACGAAAATGCCATTGTGCTCTCCCTTGACTTTATCCATGTACACATTGACCTATTTTCACTTAAAAAGCCATAGAAAATTGACAAAAATCCAATTCTTCTTACTCTTAAAAGTGCTAAACAAATAAGTGGGCGATTCTGCATTTTACCCCAAATTTTCATATCTCAGAACTTAAGATGGCAGAAAAAATTCGATTAGCCAAAACGATACATTAGGAGAAGTTAGCATAGATTTCAAATTCTATATATTGATATATTTTTATTTTTGATTCATTAAACTTCTATTGTGATGACAATTCTTGTATACTTCTTTCCAATAACTCATGTAAATGCATATTGTAATCTGTAAGTGCACATATTTAAAACTAACAGTGTGTATATATGCTAATTTATGATTTTTTAACCTACCATTTCAGTGAAAACAAGTATTTGTTTCCATTGCCATTGTACCTTAAAAAACATTCTGGAATATAAAATAGTCATTTAATTTATTTTAACTTTCAGATGGTAAAAGTATATTTAAAGGTACCCCTTGGCGATTTTTGGCGGTACATGGATGCCGAGTTTACGCAATTCTTTGACTTGTTATTTTGACTTGCATAGCGGCGATTTTCAGCACAAAAATTGCCGCTACACAAAGCCAAAATAACAAGACAAAGAATTGCACAAACTCGGTATCCATGTACACATCAACCTATTTTCACTTAAAACAATATCCCAGAATTGCATAAAATGGGCATTTCGCACTCCCTTGACTTTATCCATGTACACATCAACCTATTTTCACTTTAAAAAAAAATCCCAGAATTGCACAAAAATGGCATTGCGCACTCTCTTGTGTTTGTCCATGTTTACATCGATATATTTTCACTTAAAAATGTCAAAGAAGCACCCAATTCAACAGTAGAGGCAGACAAAAAATGCATAATCTCAATAAACTACATTTTAAACTAAACAATAAAATAACATAAAAAGGAAAAACCTGTTATGCATATCAGCACTACACCAAGCAAATATCTACTTACCTTATTTAGAAATTCCTTCGTCTTCAGTCTGTGGCACACAAAATTCCTTAACAGCTTTCAAAAACTTCCTAAAATTATCCCAACTCGAATCCGTGTATTGGCGTCACCACATAAATTTACAAAAATAAGGGTAAAAAATATCATACGTAGTTCCGTACTGTCTGGAAAATGGCTACTAAGTAAATCTTGATTTACACGCCAGTCAAACTTTTCCCCTTTTGTTCCAAATCGTGCAGAAACTTCAAATTAATCTTACTACATTCAGCCATTCTACCATCTAAACAGTGAAACAAGCAATGTACTTCCTAACAATACACACCCCAAAAGCCCTTACAAAACATTCCATGATTAAAAATTTCCCGGAATAATGCAAACGATTATGTCATAATAGGGTTTCCATAACATTCAAGTACTCAGGTTACCATAATCGAAACAACAACTTCATGATAATACAAGGGGTACCCTAAAATAAACTCTTAACCCTTCAAATTTCTGAAAACTTGATTCGAATCTAATATTAAAATGAGTGCATAAGTATTTATCAATTGAGTATCCCATGATTTATATTATTTCGGAATTTCTTCTCTTTTCATGTAAAATTATGGCTCACAGACAAGCCTAAAAAAAAAAAAAAAAAAAAAAAAAAAAAGAGTTTAACCTGGAGAATGGGTTATATGAATGAGTTTCAAAGATTTTTTCATGTGTAATGTGATTATGAGCCATTTTTCCTTAAAAAGATCTTCACAAAGACATCTCTTTCTTTAGGCAATAGCCCCCCCCAAATGGTTTGCCATAATGCGAATAATTCGAATACTAATCACGTTGAGTGATATTGGTAAACTTTTTTTTGATAATCATGTAGTTTGTGATCTACCACTTTTAGTTATTTACTTATTTTTTTGTCAGTGGCAATAAAATACATTGTTGTTTTAATCATTTCTCTTTCCTGCCACTCAATTTCATGTTCCAATTTTAAAACAGTATTTTAGTGGCACCACCTAAGAAATAAATAGCTTGTCTAAGCAGTAGATTGTATACTACATGATTATTCTTTTCTGTGTTCCTCGGACTTACTATGTTATATAAAACGTTCCATTTTACCAAATGATGTATGAAAATTGAATGGATAAGTTTGAATTGTATGGGAATGTTTAATTGCAAAGGGAAAGATTCTATGTTCTGTGTATAATTATGAGGTGCATTTGGTGAATAGCCAGTGCACATTGCTGAATTTGTGCAATTCTGTAATATTTTTTTTTTTTTTTTTTTAAATTGAAAACAGATCATTATGTACAGGAGAAGAACAGTGCCAGAAAATGTCAGAAGGAGTTTGTAGAAAGTGTTTTATTTTATTCCTTATTTAGAAATTAAAATTTGTATGTTAACTTGCTAAAGTGTGTTTTCTTTTGATATGGTGATAATGTTTTTGGCAAACATATCAACTTTTAATATTAGGTTGTCCGGAAAATAATGCAGTTTTTAACCTATATCTTTAAAGTATCATAACTAAACTGAAAAACAATTTTATTAATCAAAATAAGCACCAGCCAAATCAATGCATTTGCCATGAGATGAGATTAAGTTCTTTTTTTTTTTTTTTTTTTTTTTTTTTTTTTTTTTTTTTTTTTTTTTTTTTTTTTTTTTTAGTAGAATAATATTCTGGAGTTCTGGACGCAATAAAGTTGTCAAAGGCGTTTTTGACCTCGTCTTGGTTTTTGAAGCATTTCTTCTGAAAATGTTATCCATATGTTTGAAAAAATGGTAATCGGTCTGTGAGAGGTCAGGCAAATATGGGGGAAGAGGAAGGATCTCGTATCCCAATTCGTCCAATTTCTGTAGGGTCAGTTGCACGACGTCCGGCAGAGCATCGTCATGGAGAACTGGCCGCTTTCTGTTGACCAATACCGAGCACACACTTTGCAATTTTTGGCAAATTTCATTGATTTGTTTAGATTACTTATCTGCTGTAATCATTTCACCCAGATTTAGGAAGTTGAGGTGGACGAGACCAGCCTCAGACAACCAAACAGTCACCATAATTTCTTTTGGTGCAAATTTGTCTTTGGAAAGTGTTGCGGTGTCTGACCGGGGTCTAACCACTGAGCTGAATGTCGCCAGTTGTTGGAGAGAACCTATTTCTCATCGAACGTAACAATTCGATCCAGAAAAAGGTCATTTTTGTTGCGGAGAAAGAAGAGGCAGACGACACTTCAAAACGGCGATTTTTTTTTATATTCGCTCAATTCGTGAGGCACCTCATTTATCGAGGCTTCTTTGACTTTCCTATACGATTCAAGTGATCAGAAATCGTTGTTTTACTTACAAAAAGCTCCCCCTCAAGCTCTAAAACAGTTGTGCACGGGTTTGGTTTCAACTAAAGTCTTCAAATTACAGTCAAAAGTCTTTAATCCGGACTCGTCGGGACTTCGGCGATTCCGGATTATAGATCATCAGTTTTAAATCTGGTAAGATGGCATGCAGAAATTATAAAATTAAAAATATGAAACCGTAATTTATAAAAATGAGCAATTATGATCTAAAGGGTATCAAAATTTACCAAAAAGAAGCCTAATATATTTGTTTACTTTATTAAACATTTCTTCAATGCGCGGATGCGTAAAGCATACCTTACCCATAGCCGAAATTAGAAAATTGCAACCAGAAAACTATTTGATTTGTATTCGTGGTATTATAATGACAAGGAATTTGATTTAAATCATATCAAAGACGGAGTACATCGAAATTAAAAATACATTTAGTAAGGAATTATAAGCCGAATAAAATAAAAACATCTGCTCTGAAGATAACGATAGTGTTGACAAATCAACTTCCAGTTCATTGTGCGCCGTGACGTCTTCCCCCCCCCCCCGCGCAGAGCAGCGTGAAATTGATAAACAGATTTCGGAACAGTTAGATAAACAAAGAATATGCCTTTATCCATTTTTTGTAGCAATTCGTTTTTTGTTTGATGGACATCGAAACACACTTTCGTTTTCTAGATCCTTTGGGAGCTCCAGCATCGGAAATTCTATTTGACATAATCAAAAGTTCAAGCTTACTTTTAGAAAATTGTTCTTACAGTCTGCAAAAATTAATAAGCCGGATCCAATTCGAAGATTAAGGAACAATGCTATCATCAACATTAACTCAAATAGATGATTAGATTATTTTAGCTTATAGCGTCCGTTATACATTAAACACGCACGCGAAAACGTATTCTGCACCTGCGCAGATGCATATGCGCAGTCTTGGGCATATGCGTCATAAATGTCATAAATGTCTTGGGCGCACGAGTAAAACGCCTATGCGCATGCGTCAATGCAGCGCATGCGCAGAAAGATTTTAGCTTTGAGGTCCGAATTAACGACTTTTGACTGTATTGTCATCAACAGCTGAAGAGCGTCCACAATGCTCTTGAACTTCCAGGTCAAATTCTCCACGACAAAACTTTGGTATTACCGTTGAACTGTAGTTTCATTAATTTTTTTTTTTTTTACTTTCTCACTCATAATTAGTTGACATTTCGAGCCGTTTGTGCTGTGCTGTGGCCTAGTTTCTACTCATAAAAGTAAATTTGCAGAAAATCCTGTTTTGACATCTAAACAAAAACACTTAGTAATTATTTTGGAAAATAATTTTGAAACAAAATGATTATTATATAAATATAGAGCAAAAATAGAGCTACAAAATGATATATAAACTAATGTAATTCAAAATATTTTTGTTCCTAAAAATGTACAGGAAAAATAAACAATTGCAAAAACCTGCATTATTTTCCAGACAACCTGATATAAATATAAAAGATGTGGTAATCTTTTAAAAAAGACTCCAGAATTGCCAATTTGCACTGAAATAGTAACTTTTATTGATGATTGTGTCAGCTTTCTTTATGAAGGGAAATGTACACTCTTTTGCAAAAAAATCGAAGCGCCAAAAAGGACTTTTGCAATAGTAACAAAATTTGGTATGCAAACACATCTTGATCGAACATGCAAATGATCAAAGTTTCAAGGCAAATAAACAGGAATTGCGATCATAATGTGCATTTCTAGTGCACAATTCGCAAACTATAAAACCAGCAACAGAGGCGGAAAATTTATCTTTTTTTGTTGCTGCCATTGTAATTCCATAAAGAAGCAACTAAAGGTGCCATTATGACGATATCGAAGATCTTGACAGCTAAACTACTTTGAATGTGGTTGCATTTTAGGGTTGCGTGAAGCTGGGTGATCATACCTAACAATAAACCGCCATCTGCAGCATACAGACACTGGTGTGCAAAGATGTTGGTAGCAATGGTTGCTACAAGGAAATTGCCAACGAAATGAAGGCTCTGGAAGGCCAAGGAGTACAAATGCAAGGTAAGATAGGATGATTGATCTCCATGCTTGAACTGCCCCAAGTGTCGTTTTCGACTATTCAACGCACTACAGCCACGTCAATGCCTCCCGTTGTATCGTCTACCATCTCACACCGCTTGTCTGAGGTGCGGTTACATTCACAGAGGCCTTTAAGACATTTGCTTTTGACCCCACAACATTGGCGGCGGCGTCTGGAGTGGTGTCCTAGCTGATCATCATGGCTGCCATCAGACTGGCATCCTATAGTGTTGAGAGATGAATCTGTGTTCACTCTTGAAGCAGATGATCACCTTGTTCGTGTCTGGAGAGGACGGGGCCAGCGGTCCCAATCAGCCTTTGTTTTACAAAGGCATACAGCTATAACCCCTAGTGGGATGGTGTGGGGCTCTATTTCTTATGACAGCAGGTCATCTTTAGTCATCCTTTGTACGTCTTTAACAGCTCAACGATATGTTGATACCATCCTGCGGCCGGTTGCATTACCCTTCATGGCACGTCATCCTGGAGCCATTTTCCAACAAGATAACGCCAGGCCACCACCGTTCACATATCTCTGGACTATCTTTGTGTGGTTGCTACTCTTCCTTGGCTAGCAAGGTCACCAGACCTTTCACCAGTCGAGCATGTATGGGGCATGGTAGGCTGTGAGATTAGGCCACTACAAAATATAGCAGATCTGGAGTGACAACTGTTGAATGCCTGGCAGAATGTGTTGCAGAATGACTTGCCTTGACGAATTTAAGCATGCATTGCTGCCAGGGGCGATTCGACCAACTACTAATTTGAACACTCAATGAGTGATTGTGAGCCGTGAACAGGTACTATGACCTTGATTTTTTAATCATTTTATTATCTGTGTATGAGCTATACACATATTCAATTTCATCAAAAACAACCATTTCCTTCATCGTGCTCTGATTTTGAAGAGTGTATATTAGGGCTGGTACTGCCGTAGCAGACAGCAAATTTTAGGGGTGGTAAAATTTTTAAAATTTAGACAAGAACCAAGCTGCCAAATTTAGTGACAGGACAATTTTTAGAATTTAAAAGAGGCATTAAGCAACAAAATTTAGGGGTGGCAAAAATTTAGAATTTATGGAGCCATACGGCAGCAGAACTTAGGACCCATAGAGATTGCAGCAGGCAACAAAATGCCTAGTGCTGGCCCTGGTATATATGCAGATTTTTACAGAAAACATATTTTTCTTAGCATGAGATGCCACAATTGGCTATCTTTCTCTAATGAATAACACTTTTTACACAGAAAATTTTTTTTAAAATATCATTTGGCCAGAAGCATTTTATATTCCATTAAAGACTCCAAACCAGAGGTTTCTTAAAAAAAAAAAAATAATAATAATAAATTCTTTCTTTACCTTTTCAGTTTTATACAGTGTTGCATTTGAAAGCTCATATAAAATTAAACTGTTGATTTTAAACCAAATATAGGCTCTTTCCTGCCATAGGATTACATGTGACAAACAGTTTTCTACAGATGCCAGTTCTGCACATTAGAATTATTCTAATGAACATTAGAATTATTCTAATGTGCAGAACTGGCATCTTGTAACTATAGTATATCAGAACATCATCTCTTGTAACTATAGTATATCAGAACATCATCTCTTGTAACTATAGTATATCAGAACATCATCTCTTGTAACTATAGTCTTGCTTTCAGAGTATTGTTAATGAAAAGTTTTTTAAATATGCCATTCTGTTTATACTTTATTTACAAAAATGTTACTTATATTTAGAAAACTTGTACCATAGTCAGAATGAATAAATATGTAATAGAAGTATATTTTCACACTGAAAGTATCAAGTTAGTATGTGTATCTTTCTAGAGAAAGCTGATGCATTTCATCCCATAGTAGAAAAAAGAACCCAAAGATATTTAAAAAATTAAATATTTAATTTTATTACAGGAATGAAATTGTGCTTAAATCTGAGGCAAGTAGGAAAACCATGTAGCTAAATTCTGGAGATCCTCTACAGTGTTTAAAAATAAGATCTTGGCTGTTCAAGAAAGAAATCTTTCATCTGTGTACCGTAATGTTGAACATGCTTTGTATATTTCATTTATAAAACCTGGGCTCAAAATTTGCTTCTTAAGAGGCAGTAGTTAATCCAGGGACAAGGATCCATTTAGGCACACTAAATATGAGAATTTTTATCACAGCAGAGGATAGCTACAATATTTAAAATTATCATAAAATAATTTCTAAAATTGTATCTTATGAAATAACTGAAGTAGACACGGCTGTCACAGATGAATAGTTATCAAATATAATGTAAAGTCTGAGATCCAGAATTGTCTATTTCAGGCTTTGGAAATTTCTAGATTTTAGATTATCAGTTTAAATCTAGTAAGATGATGCATAGATATAGCAATATTGGAGCTTTGAACAGCATGCCATTTATGAAAATTCATGATACAGCCCTGAGCTTATATATTTTAAAAAAGCTAATGGTCGGTGAGGAATATTACAGAATGTTATCCTGAAAAGAAATTTAAATCTATGCCTTTATATGAATGAAAAATATTTTTTCTTTTTTTAGGCCTCTGGCAACAAGGTCAGTCGTCTTTCTGTATTATGTGGCAGCCAAAATATAGTCTTAAACGGCAAAGTATGTATAATTTGTAGTTTGCATTTATACTTCAATGTATTTATAGGTATAGTAAAATTATATTTATATAGTAAAATTTATGGTCGTATGGTGAAATCTAATGAAGAATAAATAAATACTTTTCACTGACTATGTTTAAACTTAACAAATTTGAGAATATTAGTGAAGGAGTATTAAAATATTGATTAATATATTGAAATTCCTGAAAAAGGAATAAGAAGAATTAAATTTATAAATTTTTTAGAATTCATCATAAGACTTTAAAAAATTTTTAAGCTTTTGCAGTGATGATCATCATTAGATATATAAACTTTTAAGTTCAAGCATAATAACTGTTTTGTGTTGAGAAGTTGATAGGCTGTTCCTTCCAAGTGATTCACATTTGTAGTATTGTAGTAGCCTTGGGGAACTTTTTGAAGGTACCACTTTGTCAAACTTCTTTGAAGATTTCAAAAAAGGTGAAAGCAAATGTTTGAAAATTAAGGCATCATAGCCAAAGGGCTTCTTCAATATTCTGTGTGTCTGAATGTCATCCTTTACACCAAATCAGTATTTCTCAATTTGTGTGCTGCAGCATATCACAAGAAATTGTCATGAGAGTGTATCATGGGAGATTGTAAAATGCATCATAAGGGTTTTTGACTAATAGTTTGTCAAAATACCTCATGATACAGGGGTTTTATAACTTTGAAATAGAATTTATAATTATCTCAATGGTTTCTAAAAAAAAAAAAAAATCTTTTGAAATATATTTATTATTTATTTGAATATATTATTCCTGTATTTTTATTTGATATTATTTTTCCCAGTTGTATTTGACGTTGATTCAAATTGGCTTTTTCTTAAAGTCAAAGGATTTGTGAAATAAGTAAATTTTTTAATTTCTTTAATATGATTGCATTGCTGTGAACTAATTAAAAAACGCTGTATTCATTTACCATTATGGACAAATATTTAATAAAAATCTGGTGTTTTACAAACAGAAGACAAACAAAGAAACAAACAGAGTATAAAGATGAGTACACTGAATTGAGATTCTTCGCAGCTGAAATAGAAGACTCTTAAATATCATTCTGTGTAGTCTGCAGAAAGAAACTTGCAAATAAGCTCTCATTCCTAGTAAAAATGAAGTTTCATTCCAAATGAAAAGACATTTGGAAACTGCATATTAAATTTTATCATCCCACTTTCATTTTTGCGGTCAAGCACCGATACTGAAAACCATGTCATTTCTACTTATTGACCAACTTTTTCCTCAATATTAATTTTTTAATATTGATTTTGTCATACTTTATTGCATAAAAACTCATAAATTATGCATAAAACTTTGGAAACAATGTAAAATTGATTAGCAATGAACATTCATCTCAATTATATGAACTCTCAACAGACTCTGACTGAATGCATGGTATTGCTAAACGGCAATACAGAATTTTATGTACAATAAACCCTTGCTGAGTGCTTATTTGCAGAACGCGATTTTGACACATTACCTAGTTTCTATTTAATTTGCCCAATGAGTTCCATTCATACACGATTCAGAGTTCATTTTTTAACAATGAACTCTTGCTGGTATCAGCTTCAACCAGACATGATCAACAATTTTAAAGGACTTCCATCAACTGAAAATAAAGCTTAAGATATTTTATGAGTTGCACAAGCAAATAGTGGTAAATCATTTCCATGGAGAGGCCAAAGAAGGAAGAAGATGAAGAATTAATCGAGAAATGATGAATGAAGAATTGAGTTATCGTACAACATCAGCAGTGAAAGCAGTAATAGTGAAAAAGAAGAAAAAGGTGTCTTATAAGAATTTAAATAAATTGTTAAAAAGGGCATAAAAACTGTCTGATTTTGCAAAGGATATCAACCCAAAGGAAGAAACAAGAGGACACCTTTATGAGAGGCATTGAAAATCTCTGCTGTTCTTGCCATGAAACTTTTGAGTTATATGAATCATTATCCCAAGCAGAAATTAATTATTTTCTGAAAAATACTTTTCAGATGATTAGCTTTTTTAATTTCCTTTTTAGGAATTAATCCCAGAAGACAGAAAGTAATTATTATCATGCAGTTTGTTTCTTAGACCAGCATAATAGAAGTAATATATTTTAATAACATTATATCTAAAGAATTAATGAAAAATTTAGAAAAGCAAAAATGTTTTCATCTGTATGATTAACAATTTTAATAACAGATGGTGAGAATTTTGTGTTCTATTTTTTCAGCCCATTCAGTTCAGATAATGTAAAAACAACAGATATGATTATTGTTTATACAAGAAGAAGATAAATTAGAGGTTGAAATTTTATAACTGATATAAATAATGTTTGACATTTCACAAAGGTGAAATTATTCACATGCAGCAGTCTATTGTCTTGAGTGATTAAATAAAATGATTAAATAAAAAATCAGTTGAAGCAGCATTAAAGTTTAATAAACATGTGAACCATATTTAATTATTATTTTTTATCTATTAATTGAAGGACACATTATAATATCTTTAAATTCATTTAAATTCTGGATTTTATTATATTCAGAATTACAGATCTCCTTTCTTAATTTTGTATGATTTTTATTGCTTTTAAATGAAATTTCATATTTTAAGAGATTTATGTACACTGTCATGTGCAAAATTTTTATATGTTCTGAATATGTTCTACTCAAAGTAATCCATTTGTGCTATTTTTTTAACAGACAATTATCCAAACTGAATGCGTAATTCGTGGAGACTTAGCTAATGTTAGAATAGGAAGGCATTGTGTTATTAGTAAAAGAGCTGTGATAAGACCACCTTTCAAAAAATTCAGTAAAGGGTAAGTATATGGTATCATTTATGTTTTATGAATATGATAGATATTATAAAAAACACAAAATCCAGTATACCAAGAGTAATCTCTTGGTTACTCTTGGTATACTGCGAAGGATGGGATTACAAAATGGAATAAAAAAGCCAAAATAAAATATAAGAACGCTTTAGCATAATATTATCACTAAATTAGTTGTTAATGTTGGTAATGCCAGAACTGTATCGTTCCCCTACAGACTCTTGGTTATTAATGTATGATAATACCATATTAGAGCGCATTGTTGATTGCACAAACATTTATATGGACAAATCTGAGGATAATTTTCAAAGATACAGTGACTGCCCGCCCCCCCCAAAAAAACTAATTTAATTGAAATAAAAGCCTTAATCAGTCTTCTTTACATTTGTGGAGTACATAAATCCTCCCATGTTAACGTTGTAACTTCTTGTTTAGTTTGTTAAACTTAATAACTTCTACGCTTTAAAAGTAGACTCAACTAATGAGTATATCTCAAGAATTCAAAACTTTTATTATTACATTTTTAAACAGTTCACATGACATTCAGCTAGCACAGTAACACGTGCATCACAACAACGGAATCGCATAGCATTATTTCAGTTATTACAGTTAAGTAGTTATTTTAAATATACATCACATCCCTTCCTCCAGTTTATAAACAATAATAAAAATACCAAATAATATCAATACAAGTATATTCACAATATGACATACAATAAAAAAAGTTACATAAAAATGATATATGCAATATGTTACATTATTTTATTCCATGACAAAGTCTCTATATCTTGAAGGTTGTCTAATCAACCGTCCACTTCTTGTTATTGTATTATTGGATAGATTATTATTCTGTTGATTTCCTATATTAACAGGCACAGAAACATTTTCAGGGCTTCCATTTGAATTTTCCTCTTTATCTAATACTATATCATCATAATCATTATTAACTTTGTAAGGTGATTTTGAAAATTTTATATGGCGTCTGTTTTCTTCTCTTTCTTCGTAATATTTCCCCATTTGAATTTCTTACAATATAGGATCTAGGAGCTTTATGTTTTGAAATTATTTCACCTTTATCCCATTGCCCAGTTCTAAAGTTGAACAAGGTTATACTATCTCCAGGTTTTAACTCAGGCAGTTTCTGTGCGGTTCTATCATAATAATATTTTTGCCTAGCTTGAAGTGCACGAAATTTAGAATAAGGTTTGTTTATCTTAGTATTTAACAATTTATTACTGATAGGTAATTTTGTCCTTAATCTTCTATTAAGTAACAGTTGTGCAGGAGACAAATTTATTCCACTAATTGGGGTATTTCGATATTCCATTAAGCCTACACTTATATCTTGCACTTTTCTCATGATATTTTTCACTATTCCTACAGCTTTTTCAGCCAACCCATTACTTTGAGGATATCTGGGGCTACTAAATTTAAATTCGAAATCCCAATCTTCAGCAAATTTCTTAAATAAGTAGCTATTACAGGGATTATTGTCGCAAACGACTTCATTTGCAATACCATACCTGGCAAAGATGCATTTTAACTTTATCATAATTTCATTTGCTGTCTTATCTTTTATGTTAGAAACCTCAATCCATTTAGAGTAATAATCAATAACTACTAAGTAATTTTGATTACCAAATTGCAAGATATCAAGGGCAATTTTTTCGAATGGTTTAGTTGGAATTTCATGTTGCATTAGAGGTTCTTTTTGATTTCTATTTCTGAATTTTTCACATATTTCACATTTGGAAACAAGCTGCTCAATGTCATTTGTCATACCTGGCCAGTAAAAAGTTTCACGGGAGCTAATTTTACATTTCTCAATTCCAAAGTGCGCTTCATGAATTAATTGCAACATATCTTTTCTCAAACCATAAGGTACAACTAATTTTTCATTAATAAATAACAAGTCGTCATAATAATATAAAGATCATTTTTAACTTTAAAGTATGTTTTTACACTACTATCTACTTTTTTTTGTAACATTTAGGCCAACCCTCTTTAATATATTTCATAACTATTTGCAAATCTGGATCTGATTCAGTTTCTTTCCTAAATTGCACCACTCTTCTTTCACTCATAGGCAAATATTTTGAAATAATGTGAACAACATTTAGCATTTCAGGATCATCACTAATAGTTTCCTTCACAGGATATGCACGTGACAAAGTGTCAGCAAAAAGCATTTGATTACCTGGAACATAATTTATCTCAAAATCATATTTTAGTAGTTTTAAGATCATCCTTTGCATTCTAGACGAGATTTTATGCAATGGTTTCTTAACAATTGCCATTAACAGTTTATGATCACTTTGTACTGTGACTTTCCGTCCATAAACAAAATTGTGGTACTTTTCAAAAGAAAATACTATGGCCAATAGCTCTTTTTCGATCTGTGCATAGTTTTTTTTTCACTGTTAGTCAGGCTGCGAGACACAAATGATACAGGCTTACCCTTTTGAATTAGACACGATCCTAGGCCATCCTTCGAACTATCACACTGTATAATTATATCTTCATTACCACTGAAAACTTTTAAAATTGGAGCTTTGGTTAGCAGTTGTTTGATGTTGTTAAATGACTCTTCCTGAGTTTCTCTTTCTCCCCAATTAAATTCTACCTTTTCTTGAATGATTTCTCTTAAAGGAGCAGTAACTTTAGATACATTAGGTATGAATTTTGACAGAAAATTTAACATTCCTAACAACCTCCTTACTTCAGTTTTTGATTTTGGTGTTGGCATACAATAATTGCTTTAATATGACTAGGATCGGCTTTTGCACCTGACTCAGAAATAATTTGGCCTACATATTTGACTTCCGGTACCCTACATTGTAATTTATCAGGATTAAATTTTATATTTAGAGACCTAGCTCTTTCAAGAACCTAATTATATCATGAGAGATAATTATATCATGAGTAACCTCATCAGATCCTGCAATTATGATATCATCAAAATAAACTTCCACACCCTCAATATCACCAAATAATTTTTGGTTTCTTTTCTGAAATATTTCTGGGGCGGAGGATATTCCAAACGGCATTTTATTAAATTTATATCTTCCATAAGGAGTATTATATGTACATAGTTCAGAACTAGCTTCATCTAGTGGTACATGCCAAAATCCATCTTTTAAATCTACAACTGAAAATACTTTTTTACCTTCTAACCTACTAATTATATCATCTGGAGAAGGAATTTGATAGTGTTCCCTTTTTTAATTACTTTATTTAGATCTCTAGGATCCAAGCATAATCTCAGACTCCCATTAGGTTTTTCAACTATAACCAAACTTTGAACCCAATCAGTTGGTTTATTTACTTTCGATACTATCCCTTCTCTTTCAAGTTTATCTAAAGTATCTTTTAATTTAGGCTGTAAAGCCTGAGGAACACGTCTTGGGGGGTGTATTACTGGTATTGCATCATCTTTAAGGGTTATATGATATGGTTCGTCAGGAAATTGCCCTGTACCTGTAAATACATCTTTATACTGAGCAATTAAATCATTTTTATTAATGATATTGCACTTTAAGGAATCAATCCTTTCAATTAGCTTTAATGCAGAACAAGCTGTTAACCCTAATATAGGCTTAGATCTTACATCAAGAACATAAAACTGTAAAGGTACATTCTTAAGCCTTTCAGTTGAACAATTAATTATAAGAGTACCTTCTGGTTTTAACTTAAAATTACCATATGCAGGTAAAGAACAAATCAGTTTCATTAAGTTTAGGCTTAAGTTTAACATTATTTAAAACATACAAAGGCAAAATATTTACTTCTGCACCAGTATCTAACTTAAAATCAACCTTGAAATACTTATTATTTACATACATTGTAATACTTTTCACCCATGTTTCACTTACCTTGTGAATATCCTTATTTACTTCATCAATAGAATTTGTTAGATCTTTGATTGATTTTGCACTTATTTTAAATTCACTATGCCCGTTTACTGGTGGATTTATCATTACAGAGTCAACAAATACACTATGTTCATTATATATTCTAAGTTCATTATTTGGTATTTCCAACTTCATAAATGTTCTTGGGACACCTCGCGGCAAAATGGTTCTTTACTTTGCATTTCGCACACGTCTTTCCGAAAGCTGGACAGTCCCGATATTTGTGCCTTCTTCCGCACTTCTTGCAGTCATATTCTAGTGCTGATTGCTTCTGCTGCGACGATAATTTCGGTGGCACTGACTGTTTTGATTGATGCTGCTGTTTTCTATATTTCTTCACGCTGTTCACAGTCGCTGGATCATCTTTCATGTTCCGAAGTTGCTCTTTGCTTGTTTCAGCGGCACGGACTATTTCTATAGCTTTTTCTAATCCTAGGTTAGATTCTCGAAGCAAACGTTCGGTCAGACTCCTATCCCGAATGCCTAATACAATACGGTCGCGAATCAATCCATTTTCTTGTTCAGCAAACTCACAAGTTGACGCTAAAGTCTTTAACTGAGTGACATAACATTCAATTGTTTGTCCTTCTTGCTGGCTACACGAAAAGAATTTGTAACGTTCATATACGACATTCTGCCGTGGTGAACAATAATCTTCAAAAGACTTCAAGACCTCTTCGTATTTCTCTTTATTCTCAGGTGGCTCAAATCGAAACGTGTTAAAAATTTCGAGTCCTTCACTACCGAGTAAATTCAAAAGGATTGCAATTTTAGTCTTATCTGGCTTGGCATCTTTTTCCGTTGCAAGTAAATAGTTTTCTAGCTCTTGCTTCCATTTTTTCCATTTTTCTTTAACATTTCCGACGGAGAATGTTAGCGGAGCAGGTGGTCTGAAATCCATTTTGCTCCTGACACCATGTAACTTCTTGTTTTTTTGTTTTTTTTAACTTCTGTACTTTAAAAGAAGACTCAACTAATGAGTATATCTCATTTTTTTATTATTTTTTAAACAGTTCACATGACATTCAGCTAGCACAGTAACACGTGCATCACAACAACGGAATCGCAGAGCATGAACGCCATTACAGTTAAAGTTATAGTTATTTACAATTACAGTTATAGTTGTAGTTATTTTAAATATACATCACAAACAAAGTTTTGACTGGGATTCACAAATTTCCCACATTCTATAGAGACTTTTATTTCTGCTGGGTTGCCTAAGATTTGATGATGTTATAGATCATATGAAAAGGAAAGAACTTGATAAACTTGTTCCTGTAAGATCTGTGTTTCACTTATTTGTAAATAACTGTAAGAAGTTATATAGGCTTGGTGGGTACGTCACCATCGATGAAAAACTAGAACCTTTTAGAGGCAGATGTCCGAATTCAGGCAATATATTCCCAGTAAGCCTGCAAACTACAGCATTAAAATGTTTGCTCTAGTGGATTCACGGCCCTTTTATACCTGGAATTTAGAAATCTATGTAGGGATACAACCTGAAGGTCCTTGGAAAACAGAGCGGACAAAGGTGTTATGAGACTTGTCACACCTATTTTCAACACAGGAAGAAACCTCACTGTTGACAACTGGTATACAAATGTTGGTCTAGCTAAAGACCTTCTACGTAAAAAACAAAAGTTACTCTTTTTGGAACAATAAGAAAAAATAAAAGAGAAATACCGAAAGAATTCACTTGCTCCAGAAAACGAGAATTGCATTCTCGGATTTCAGAAACACATGACTTTAGCGTCATATACCCCCAAAATGAAAAAATGCATGCTTTTATTATTAACTATGCTTAATGTTGATGCTATATCCTTCATCTGCTGATGCCAAGAAAATCTGAAATTATTACTTTTTACAACCTGACGAAAGGTGCAGTGTGTGTAGTAGACAAAATGTCGGCTTTATATTCTATGGCTAGGATTAGCAACAGAAGGCCAATGGTTGCATTTTTTAGTACGTTAAATACAGCTGCTATCAACGCTCAAGTCCTGTGATTGTCAACTGATAAACCTGAAGAAAAGTACCATAAAAGGAGGCTCTTTTGAAGAATCTTGCATTAGAACTTCTAAGGGAACATAATGAAAACAGGAGAATCAAACCAAACATTTCCAGGAGCTTGCAAATGGAATTAAACAGAACTCAGCCTGAACAAGTTGAGGATCCTCCATGTAAAAAAATTAAAAGCTGCTACAAGGAAAAAATGTCATATAATGTCCCGCTATGAAGGATAGAAAATCTAAAATATTATGCACAAAATGTAAAAAAAATGTTTGCGGTGAGCATAGCTCCATAGTGTGTAATATGTGCCAATATATACAGTCAAAAGTCTGTAATCCGGTTGTCCATAATCCAGAATGATTTATAATCTGGACCTCCTGTATAACAGACGGTATAAGCTAAGCTAAAATTATCTAATTATCTATTTCAGTTACTGTTGCAGATTGCATTGTTCCTTAATCACTTGCACTACACTTCACGGTAGCGGTGCTGTGTGCTACAATATACAATATAACAAGGAATAAAGTGTCTCATTTATGCCGCTCCGCGTCTGCGAGTACAATCCAGAGTTGTAACTCGAGAAATAAACAATCTTGTTGTTAAGCGATGTGTGCACCACATTATTTTAATTTTTGTGCGTGGTTTGAGACAAAAGCATCTCGACATATGTAGCACATCTTTTTAGCGCAAGTGGTTAAATCTTCTAATTGGACCCGGCTTATTATTTTTTGCAGACTGTTAGAGTAATTTTATAAAAGTTAGCTTGAACTTTCAATTATGTCAAAAAGAATTTCCGATTCTGGAGCTGCCAAAGGATCTAAAAAGCGAAAGCATGTTTTGATGTCCATCAAACAAAAAGTGGAATTGCTGCAAAAAATGGATAAAGGCATATGCTTTGTTTCTCTAACCATTCCGAAATCTGTTTATCAATTTCACGCTGCTCTGCGGGAGGAACGTCGCGGCGTACAATGAACTGGAAGTTAATTTGTCAGCACTATCCTTATCTTCAGGGCAGATGTTTTTATTTTATTCAGCTTATAATTCATTACTAAATGTAGTATTTCATCTCGATGTACTCCGTCTTGATATGATTTAAATCAAATTCATTATAAATATCACGAATACACATCAAATAGTTTTCTGGTTGCAATTTTCTAATTTCGACTATGCATAATGCATGCTTTACGCATGCGCGCATTGAAAGAAATGTTTAATAAAGTAAACAAATAAATATTAAGCTTTTTTTAAAATTTTGATACCCTTTAGATCATAATTGCTCTTTATTTCATAAATTATGGTTTCATATTTTTAATTTTATTATTTCTGCATGCCATCTTACCAGATTTAAACTGATGATCTATAATCCGGAAAAACCCCTAATCTGGAATCGCGGAAGTCCCGACGAGTCCGGATTAAGACTTTTGACTGTATATATATACAGTCAAAAGTCTTTAATCCTTTATATATATATATCAGTGTTAAGTTTGTAGCTTCATATGTAAGTAAGAATTAATGCTTTTAAACTTTCAACATTAAAAGTTTAAAAACATTAATTCATTAATTTAGTTACCTTCTTCAACTATTCAATTATCTTACCTTATTCAATGTTATATGTGATGTAAAAATTTAATGAGATTTTTCTAGATATTAGTTCATTGTTTTCAAATATATAACTTCTCTTGATTTTTATGAATTGTAGTATAAAATATATATTATTGGTGCAATAATAAGCCTCATAAATTAAAGAGAAGTGCGCATGGGCTTATTCCACCCAACGCGCGATCTCACGTTACTATTAGAACGCATGTGCTGCCGGGTTAAAGATTAAAATTTTTTATTAAATATGTATATAATGGTACACAAATCTCACTTGAGTTTTTTTTTCATGTTTTTTTTTTTCAGCATTATTCGCTTTCGAGGGCCGTAAAAAATTGCCAAATTATCGTTGATGCCAATGCTGCCAAAAACAATTGTGGCAACCCTAATAATTGCGGCAAGAAAGGATGTATAATAGTAAATAACTATCTAAGATTGATGCTTTAAAATAGATGAAAGGTTAATTTCATATAATATTATAATTTATATGAAAAAGGCTAAACATGACTGAATGGAAGCATAAGAGTAAATAACTATTTCAGATCATTATTATAATTTATATAAAAATTCCTAAACATAACTGAATGGATGCCTGCATCGCTATTTCGCTACCGACTTATCGCTAAAGCATAATTTCATCTCGTTGGTTAGTTCTAAGCACTGGCTCTCAGCCCACCAAGCAGGCGAAACCTGCCATATTGCTATGAGGGGACAGGCCAAGCCACAGACATAAAAAAACAAAAACAAAAACAAACAAAAAAAAAAAATTAAGTAGATACATACATTCCAAGCACTCTAGGTGAATAAGTGCATAAATGCGTTGTTTCCATTTCTGTCTTTTTTCTGAAGTTTAAAATCTTTATAAGTTTTACTTTCAACTAGTTATTATTATTCAGATCTTCTTTATATTATCAAAATTCATTTTAAATTTATAAATTACCTCAATTATTTCTGTTTTCAGTATGATTTTCTGCTTTGTTATATCTCAATACCAATATTCTTCTTATTCTCATTCACCATTTGCATAATATCTTTTGCAAATTTTCTAAACAATTTATAATTGCTAAATAAATCCTTAAACTTCGCAAATTTATATTTTTCTCTCACACTTCCAGTCAAGCAACAGACCTCGACGAAATGCTTTGAATCGCCGAATTTATTACAAACTTTACATATATCATTTCCCTGGAGGTGGAACCTTTTTAAGTAAGCAGGGAACCTTCCATGTGCAGTGAGAATTTGATTAACATCTGCATCTCCTATTCAGAGAGATCCCATAAATTTTTCCAGTCTCTAATAAGCTTGTCATATATTATAGTACATGTCTTCTTTTTCGAATCTTGAATAAAAAACCTTTTCGGTCCCAACCCCCAGGAAGGCTTCTTTCGCTAGAGCATCCGCTCTCTCATTCCCATAATGACCAGCGTGAGCTTTGATCCAGTGTAAATTCAAAATATGCTTCTTTCGTAGTTCTAAATATATATGCTTAATTTCATTAACAATATTATTCTTTTGAAAGGGGCGAGAGAGTGCCATAAGAGCAGATAAGGCATCCGAGTATAAATTAATGTAATACCCCACGGATAATTTCTTGATCCAGGATAAAGCCATTTTAAATTGCCAACAATTCTGCTTGATAAACTGAATTTCTTGGTTTTAAAGTAAACATTTTGTAATCAATTTCAATACCGTGGAAAAATACAACAAAGGCACACCCAATGCCTCTCCGCAAACCCTGATTCATCTGTATGAATTTCAATTTCTCCAGCTGAAATATAGTCTTTATCGTAGGATATACCGTAATATTCGCTAGGATAGCTTGAAGTCAGATCATGTTCTAAAAAAGCCTCGCTGGTAATTGCTTTATCTTCATACATTATTATCTGTTTTATACCATATTTCAGACAAAATTTGTCATAAGTAAATTTAAGTTGTAGTGAGAGAGGCGGTACACCAGCCAGTAAGCACGAACCTTCTGTCGGGACTGTTCTAAATGATCTTGTAATTGCAAGTGTCCAGGCCCTCTGCAATGAGTCTATTTTCTGCCTTCTCTTGACCAGCTTCCCTGCTCGGTCACCCCATGTGCCAATACCATAAAAATTTTTCGGTATAATAACATTTTTGTAAATATCCCTCAGGGTAAACTTTTGTCAGAAAGAGTAATTGGAGTAAAAGTATTTTTATAATAATTAAAAATTATTTCTATCTTTCATTGTATTGACTTAAAATGCTCTAAAAAATTCAACTTATCATCGATCACTACACCCAGGTATTTAAAGGTATTCACAAATTTTATTCTTTTTTG